ATAATTTTAAGGTTCGTATTTTATTTGTACAACTTCATCATAGATTTTTATAAAATTGTAATCATTAGCATGGTTTTGATATGTGGATTTGAGCCTAAAGCCTAGATCTAATTTTAAGTGATGTAATTCTTGAGATATAGACTTTGCTTATAAATACAGGTTATAAGCCCCTATTAGATTTTAATGGCCTAATGTCTCTTCAAATGAGAGATTGAACTTGGTTTCAATTTTTAAATGAACTCATATAAGAATGGTTTGAATGAGTAAACACATAAATTAAGATGAAAAATTGGATAATAATATTGACTTGTATGATAAATTTTATTAAGTTAGAAATTAATGGTAACCTTATTGATGGCACATCAAATGATTGTGATCTGTCTAATTATCTACATAATTATTTTAACTAAAACTCCACTTTTACAAACTATGTTATTCATAATCACCTCAACATCGACTATTGTAATATGATTATGCACTTTATAGAGATCTATATTAAGAATATTGTAATTAAATAACAATCTAAGCATATTTATTTAATAAAATTATGGACATAATTTGATTGAATAAGGTTGTATAGATGAATTATTTAAAATGTGTAGAAATACTAGCATTATTTGAATTCACTTTACAATATACACCACAAAAAAAGATAGGAAAATGCTAGGTTTTTGGTTGATTCTCTTATTGATCATCCTTCTATGGATATCATTCATTTACTTGAGTTAGATGCGGGTGAAAACTTTGGTTTGATGGATTAAAAACTAAACATTGGATAAGAGGAATAATAATCGTTATATCTTAAATATAAATTATGCTTATTCATTTTGCCCAATTTCTCGTACAACAATAATCAAATTAAACAAAAATCCTTATAATTGGTTTAATAATTGGTTTAGTTATCATTTTTTATTATGATGTAAGCTATAATTGCACTGCAATACTAAACATAAAATTATCTTTAAAATAAAGTTTCACATTTAAACTTTAGTTATACATATTTCATTATTCTATAATTACCAAAATATAAAACTAAAACATTGAAAAAAATTTAATAACATATTAACAAAATCTAATTGGCCTTAAAAAACTATTGTAAAGACCTATTGGCATTGCTTACCGGAATAATGTAATGATATTTTTATCACTTCACTTAAGGAACTTTGCACTCGCTTTCAAGGGAAATAAAATCTTTTCACATGGCCTATTTTTCATTTCTAAATTGACCAAAAACAAATAAGTTTTTCATATTGATTGTAGAGTAAAATGACCAAAATACCATTAAAAGTAAAAAAATTTAAATTTGAGTATTTTTGTATTTTTACAATTATTTTTTCATTATTACAATTTAAGTTGAGGAGAAATTTGGTCTTTAACCAAATATAAAAAATAATAAAATATTAAAATGCACAATAAAATAATGAAAATACCATTAAAAAAAAAAAATTAAACCTGAGGTTAAGTGCGTTTTGGTTTTTTCACAATGAGATTTTTATAATTAGAAAGTCAATTTAAAGTCATTTTTGTATTTAGCTTAGCAAAAATATAAAAAAGAACATGCATGTGTAGCACACCTGAGAGCACGTGTATTACCTCTAAATATCTATAAATACCTTTCAATCGTGTCGTTGAAAGTGTCATGTTTCTTTTGCTATGGTGTGTATCTTCGATAGTGGTTCTAATTATCACCAATAGGTCTTTTATTTTTGTTTTCTCTCTCTTCTCTCTTGAAAATTATAGTTTGACCCTCTTGGTTATTAGTATTTTAACTTCAGTCTTTATTTTTTTGATTTCTTAAAAATTATGCTTATTTATTTTGCCCAATTTCTCATACAACAATAATCAAACTAAACAAAAATCCTTATAATTGGTTTAGTTATCATTTTTTATTATGATGTAAGCTATAATTGCACTGCAATACTAAACATAAAATTATCTTTAAAATAAAGTTTCACATTTAAACTTTAGTTATACATATTTCATTATTCTATAATTACCAAAATATAAAACTAAAACATTGAAAAAAATTTAATAACATATTAACAAAATCTAATTGGCCTTAAAAAACTATTGTAAAGACCTATTGGCATTGCTTACCGGAATAATGTAATGATATTTTTATCACTTCACTTAAGGAACTTTGCACTCGCTTTCAAGGGAAATAAAATCTTTTCACATGGCCTATTTTTCATTTCTAAATTGACCAAAAACAAATAAGTTTTTCATAATGATTGTAGAGTAAAATGACCAAAATACCATTAAAAGTAAAAAAATTTAAATTTGAGTATTTTTGTATTTTTACAATTATTTTTTCATTATTACAATTTAAGTTAAGGAGAAATTTGGTCTTTAACCAAATATAAAAAATAATAAACAATTAAAATGCACAATAAAATAATAAAAATACCATTAAAATAAAAAAAAAAATTAAACCTGAGGTTAAGTGCGTTTTGGTTTTTTCACAATGAGATTTTTATAATTAGAGAGTTAACTTAAAGTCACTTTTGTATTTAGCTTAGCAAAAATATAAAAAAGAACATGCATGTGTAGCACACTTGAAGGCACGTGTATTACCTCTAAATGTCTATAAATATCTTTCAACCATGTTGTTGAAAATGTGTTGTTGAAAATGTCATGTTTCTTTTGTTGTGTTGTGTATCTTCGATAGTGGTTCGAATTATCACCAATAAGTCTTTTATTTTTGTTTTCTCTTTCTTCTCTCTTGAAAATTATAGTTTGGCCCTCTTGGTTATTAGTATTTTAACTTCAGTCTTTATTTTTTTGATTTCTTAATTTTGGTTTTGGTCTTTTTGTAGAAGTTTTTTTTTATATATAATTTCATCCTTAAATTCTAATTTACCAAATATTATATTCTTTAATTTGGTCCTCATGTTTTAGATTTCTAGTTTTTCACCTGAGTTCTTTTGTAAAAGTTTTATTGGTTTTCAATTTCATAATGGTATAATATTTTTTAATTTGATCTTCATTCTTTTGATTTCTATTTTTTTTTTCATTTGTAAAAGTTATTATTCTTCTCAACTTCACCCTTTAATTACAACATTGTTTTTATTTTTTATTTTTTTCATTTTACTATATTGATTTTGTTTTTCAATGTTATCATTCAATTAAATATAAAATATATTTTGTATTTTAATTTCAATCCTTATTTTTTTAATTTCTATTTTTAAAAATTCTTTTGTATAATTATTTTTTTAATTTTGATTTTTTTTTCAATTTTACCCTTCAATTAAATATAAAATTTATTTTGTATTTCAATTCTTATTCTTTAAATTTCTATTTTTTAAAATTCTTTTGTATAATTTTTTTAATTTTATCATTTAATATATGAATGATTGAGAATTAAATTTTATGATTTTTCTAAATTTGGTACTTCAGATATTGAATCAAGAGTTTAAATAATTAATACGAGGTTTTTTTTATTTTTGATGAAATATCTCATCCTAAATAACATGATTAAAAATTTATCATAAATAATTTTTTATATCTTTTTTATTCATAACTAATAATTTTATAATTCTTTTTATTTTTTTTAATTTAGTTATTTTAATTATATTATTTAGATTATGAGTTTGATCAAATATCTTAAGTTTTGATGAAATATCTCATCCTAAATAACATGATTAAAAATTTATCATAAATAATTTTTTATATCTTTTTTATTCATCACTGAAGCTATCATTTACAAAAAGAGAATGTACGAGAACACCTTGGTTGGCACTCTAATCCATAAGCCAAAAAATTGGAAAATTTGTTTCAAAAAATATCCACACCTCAATATTTCCATGTGCTTACATGGAGTCATATGAATAAAATGATATTTTACATATTATGGTAAGAATTACTTTATAAAATATTTTTTTTTGAAATTATATCAAAAAAATTTATTTTGAAATCAATACATTAAAGTGATTTAAAAAGATAAAAAATAAAATTAACTTGAAAAAAATAATAATTTCAAAAGAGCTTTTTTACCGCAAAAACATGTATGATTTCCTTTATATTCTTATAATGTTTTGATTTTACATTGTATCAACTTTATTTGATTTTTTATGAGTACATTTGATTCAATTTAAGTTAAAGGAAGACCGAGTGATGGGTATTGCCAATATATTGGAGTATTTCTTGACGCAAACATTAGTAAGTAATATAAATTGAATTGTGAAGTTGGATCTTAATATTAATTACGTTTTACTTAAAATATTATTTTGAAGCCCATTAACTATTTAAATAATAAATTCTTCACTTAGATTTTATTTTCTGAGAAGTTATATACAAAATTATATGTTTTGGATATATTATTTAATTTTTAGGTTATATAGATTTTCTTTTTTTGATGAGAAAGAAGATTTCAAAAAATATATTTCACAAAGTAAAAATAAAAAGGATTGTTAATCTAATAACTTCTTCATCAAATATACATTTTAAAATTTTGGATATATTAAAGAAAAAATTCATTAATATTAGTTAAATTTTAACTTTTTTTTATATATATATATATATATAGACACAGATCAAGTTATCTCTAAACTTCCATAACATCTTTAATTAACATTCATCTAAAATCTCATTTAATTAAAAAAAAAATTTAAGATTCATATATTAACTTTTAAAAAAATTCAACACCTTATTGTAATACTATATTTTGTTTGTTTTTGTATTTTAAAATTTTTTAAAAAAATTAAATTTTTTTATTTTTTTTATTTAAATTAATATTATTTTGATATTTTTAGATTATTTTATTGTGCTGATTTGAAAAATATTTTAAAAAAATAAAACAATATTATTTTAATATATTTATAAATAAAAAATACTCTAAAAAATTACCACAACCATATATTTAATGAATATAATACCTAAAAGTTGTAAAATAAAATCACTTCATGGATTATTATATGTATTTTATACGGACCCATAAAGCAACGGTACAAATACGTTCAATTCCTGTACTTGAGCGTATAGAATACCTTCTCCCATGATATGTAGAGAAAATTAAAAAAAAAAAAAAACTGACAACTATTTCTCTCTGTCTCTGACAATAATTTCAACACGGGAACAGCAAATCTATTTTCCTTCTCTCTAAAAAGGAAAGGAAAGAAAAACTCCTCCTCCTCCTCCTCCTCCTCCTCCATCCCTTAATTAAGACCTGGGGTTTCCCCTTTTGTTTTATCTGTTGAAAGTTAAAACAAAATCCCGGTCTTAGTTAACAAGCAATTGTTGTTTGTTTTTTAAGAAAAAAATAACAATAAGAAAAGGAGGCTTCTTTTTTTTCAGCTGCTGTTTCTTCAACAATGAATGACCTTTTGTCGGTAAACATATGTTCTCTATCTTCTTATTTTTGGTTTGTATCGATGTTAATGTTGTTTTTGTTTGTCTTGTCTTTGTCTTGATCTAACTTGTTCTGATGGTGACAGCTATTATAATTTGTTTTTATTGTTTTTATCTGCATTCATTTCGTTGGATCTGTTTGGGAAACTGAGGATTCAATTATGGGTTCCTTTTGTTGTTTAAAAAGTTGGGATCTTTTTTTCTTTTTTGATGTTTGGATGGTGAGAAAGAGGAGGAAGATGAAGGAGATTCAAAATTTTAAATCACGGGATCTATTATTTTTGGGCCCCCAGAAGATGAAAAATTAAAAAGTCAGTAAATGGAGCATGACACGACCGATTCGCTTAGTTTAGCTGACATATTATCGAAGTTTACTCTTCGAATCTAGTTATGTAATGACTTATATTGTCAAAGGAGATACTTCCTTCTACTGCTCAAATTTGCGGTTTTGATTCTTAAAGCTCTAGGCTTTGGGATGCTAATGGATGTGTTACTAACATGGGAAGCCAAATTGAATTGCTTTGAACACAAGAAATTAGTCGTTCCTTGTCAGTAATTGTAGCAAACCACCATTTGACTGTAATGTTTTTGTGCATGTAAAATTTAATTGTTAGAATTATTTATGGCTGGGTTGAGATGAGTTACATGCTAATTGTAATGACTTGATTGAAAATTGCAGGATTCCTTTGAGATCCCTCGGGGTCAGGGTTCCAGAGGCGGGGATATTGAGATGGGAATGAATTCTGCAGACTTGGGCTTGGAGAGTTTCTTTAAAAAGGTTTCTCGTTTTCTTTTTGTTTTGTTTCAGTTGTTCCTTACATGCCTTGTTATTTTTCTTTTGATACTATTGTTGCTATTCAAATCCTATATTTTGTTGTTTCCATCTCGTTTCTACTAGTTGACTCCATATCCTCATCTTCTGTTTCCCAGGTTCAAGAGATTGAGAAACAGAATGAGAAGCTAGACAAGTTGCTCAAAAAGCTCCAGGTATGAGCCCCATTCAGCAAGTTCATAATTAACTTGCAAAGAAACAAAGAAAAAAGATTGACAGCCTCATAACTGTTTAATAAGCCATTTAGGTTGAGAAAAGATTGAAAAATACTTATTTCAAAGAGACCACATAAACTCGAGGTTTATTCTGTTTTTGCCCAATCTCCTTGAAGAAAAACTTTTCCTCTAGGATATGTGCCAATTTTAAGTCAACAGGTAAATTTGTGATGTCATGCCTTTATCAGTAATCCCACCTAGTCTAGATCCAAATTTATTTTTTTCAAAATTTTGTGATCAAGGAATTGTTAAATTCTTCAGGAATATAATACTTTCGATTTTAATAAGGCCAATATCTTTGTTTTGGCATCCTCTGGTTTGGTATGCTTGTGGTCATTATATTTGGATCAGTATTCCATATATGGTTCCACGGCATGTGGTTCACCGAAGTCTTTTTTCATTTTGTTTCTTGGAGGGTAGATTGGGGGTTTATGGAGGAGTTCCCTTCATTATATTTAGAATGTATGGCTTAAACTAGGTGATAATAGAAGCATTTCAGAAACTCAGATTTGCATGGTTGGAAAATTTATTGCTGTTGAACTATGTTATAAGGCCTCCCTTTTTCCAGTATTGTTGTTTATATGCATAGACTTGGTGGTTTTCTGACAACACCTTTCTTAATTCTTTGCTAAGCAACACCAAACATATGTTTAATAGTTGCATAGACGATAAGAAAGTGTTGCTTGGTGCAATTAATGTCTTTGATGGTGGAAAAATCAGCTAAGCAGTGTTTTTGGTTTCCATTTCTTGCAAATCTTGTATGCAGGATGCACATGAGGAGTCAAAGGCTGTGACCAAGGCTCCTGCCATGAAAGGTGATCAGAATATTTCAGTTGATATTTTTCAACGTTTTAATTTAATACATATTTGTATATGCATGTATGTAATAAAATATAAACATGTTTCTCTTTGTTTCTATGTTTGTAAATTCAAATAACAATCATATTGGATAAAAAGAATGAATGAAGTTGGGTAAAGCAAAAATACACAAGAAGATTTTTCCAGCTTTTAGGCTGATTCTATGTTCTCAATTTTTATTCCAAATGGTTAGAAAAATTGAGCAATGTGCATGATTGGGAAAATCAATTAGCAGTATCAGATTAGGTGAATGGGGATGGCAATGGTCAGATTGGAGTTGGATTTTGCTCCATCTGCTGCTGGCCTGGAATATTTAAATCTATCACCTGCCTCTGCAGCGGGTGGAGGACTTTCTACCCCCGGCTGCTAGCCACCAGGTACCTAACTGATTTTTTTTTAAAATCAATTTGGAAAAATAAGATTTAAGATTAAAAAATAAGGCACATCTCCATCAATAAATCATAAAACCATAAAATAGAGTCAACTTTAAAGTCCTGTTTGTCTTTGCACCATGGCTGTGTTTTTCAAAAAAATTGATTTTTTTTCTTCTTCAAATGATTTTTTTTTTGGTGTTTTTGGATTGTTTTGATGTGCTAATATCAAAAATAAATTTTCAAAAATAAAAAAAATATTATTGATGTATTTCCAAGTGAAAAAACCTTGAAAAACAACTACTATCACAATGACAAACACTGCTCAAATCCATTCATAAAACCATAAATATCCTTAATGAATTATGAGATAAAAAAATTCATGTATTTTATTGAAAAATGAAATTACAAGTCTGGATTGGGGTGGGCCAGATGATGGATTTGGTGAACCAGGTAGCTTCAATTTGTGTGCGGGGTTGGGCCAGATGATGGATCAGGTGAACCGGGTAACTTCAATTTGTGTGCTTCAATCAGCCTTACACAATCATTTAATGACTTATGGCTGCAAAAAGAAATTGTTAAACGCAACTTATTTTGTGAATCTATGTTTGCTTCTCTCACTTCTGATTTCTTTCTCCTTTCCAACCCCTCTCTGATTCAATTTCATTTTCTTTACTCGTTGAACTTGGCATTTTTCTAGATTCTTATGATTTATGAACCTCTGAGTTGATGATTGGTTTGGTTTTTGTCTGCAGGAATCAAACAGCGAATGGAGAAAGATGTTGATGAAGTTGGAAAAATTGCTCGTTCAATAAAGTCAAAACTCGAGGAACTTGACAAAGAGGTAGGCCAACTGCTTCTTTTTTTCCAATCGATTTACAGCATTTTAACCATATCTGCTTTATGTTGTCCAGAATTTATCTAATAGGCAGAAGCCGGGATGTGGTAAAGGAACAGGTGTAGACCGATCAAGAACCTCAACCACTATGTAATTAGCATTTCAACTCTGTTTGGAAAACCTTCTCTCTTTCCAATCATAAGTAAAGTTGTATTAGTTATGGGTGTTTGATCTGGTGTTTTTGGTAGACAATGAATCTTTTTGATGGGGTAAAGAACACATGCTGATTTACAATAATAATGCATGCGGATTCATGACAATAAATTATTTTGAAGTCATGATATGATGAAGTTCACGGGTCTAAATCTGCAGTTTGCTGAAAGGAGTTTTAATTTAGAATGACAATATTTAGTTCTGTTTTTGCAGTTTAGTGTTATAGGACAGAGATCACAGACATGTCTTTAAGTTGGTGATTTTTGTGTGCCTGTTTTTGTTAGCTGCCCCTTTAGACCTTCTTGTGGGAGAATGTCCTGTATGCATTTTACTCTTGTATAAATAAGTGCTAAGATTGTGGGTTTGTTTTTTCAAATTGTAGTCTGCAGTTATTTTTTTTTCTTAAAAACATGTAAATGTCCCAGAAATTATGTCTATACATAGAACCCTTAAACTAAAGGTCTCTCTGTTTTGGGTGCCCCCAAACTAATTTTTTACACTTTATTTAAGGAAAATATCACATCTAAGCTAATATGCAAGTTAAGTATTACCTCCAAAGACATTCTCTTCATTCAATATAGCATATACTTGACATCCATATAGTTGCACCATCATCATTTTCAAAAGATCCATTGTAGAGCTGGTGAAAATCAAACAATTTAGATAAGAGCCAGGCGAAAATTACCCTTAGGGGAGTGGTTATCTCTATGTTTTTTAACTTTTGTAAACAAATTAGAAAGACTAATCAAAGGGAAAACGAGTTATTCCCTATGGCATGCTAGAGTTGCAGTCAATTTAAAGTTAGTTAAGTTATGCATTTAGTCTTCCCTTTTCTTTTCAAATTTTTATTAAAGCCCTGTAGGAGTTGTAGTTCTTTTGGAAGAATTATCCAGGTTTTTGCCCTATCTGATTTGGTGTTATGATTTTATGGCAGAGCCTTGAAAAAGAAATTGAAAGACAAGATGGCTGAATTTCAGGTAGGTAAAGAATTGTAAACAAGCATATCTGAATGAGGATCTTGCACTTGTTTGCCTATTCTGTGACAGTGATCTTATGACATCTCTGAATTTTTATAGACTCTTAGGGAAAACATCCATCAAGAGTACCGGGAGGTTGTTGAGAGGCGTGTTTTTACAGGTTCAGACCATTCTCTTGTCTCTAGTTAGGTGGTCGTATGCCAGTAACCTGATGGCATATTTTCCATGATACTATACTAATCTTTTATATTTCTTGATCTACTCAATTTTCAGTGACGGGAACAAGAGCAGATGAAGAGGTGAAACTTATTGTACTTAAAAACTGCAAACAAATTCGTAGTTCTATAATCTAAGTTTTGTTATTCCGAAATGTACAGACGATTGACGCATTGATTGAGACTGGAGACAGTGAACAAATTTTTCAGAAAGCAATTCAGGAACAAGGGCGAGGCCAGGTCTGTTGATCTTTTGTTCCTCCTCTTGCTCTTCCCTTTTTCTTTTTTTTGAATTTTTTCTATGAGAGGCCAGCCCAACTGGTTTTGAACTACACAACAAGAGGTAGTCTTTACTCTTTCTCCAATTCCTAAATTTCCACCAACCCCCCCTAGACTTTAAGCCTGAGACCTTCAAATTGATATCCCAAGTCTCAACTGCTGGCATGTCCCCTAGGGAAGATTTTGAAAGAGGAACAAAAAATGTTTGATGTTGAATGTTTTTGTTGCAGTTTTTTGGACAATATTGTTTCTTAGGAGGCCATGTATATGATTTGCTCATTCTTCCCATCATCAATACTTCTTTGTGTTTTTATTCTTTCCTTCTCCAAATTTTCTTGATTTTTTTCCCTTGAAAATCATTGAAAGCTTTTTGGATAGTCATAGTTAATACTTTTCCACTTGGCTCATCATTTGCCTAAATAGTGAATCATCATAAAGGGTCATTCCTGATTTCATTTTTGTATTTTTTTGTATGCAGATAACAGATACTTTGGCAGAAATTCAAGAGCGCCATGATGCAGTCAGAGATCTGGAGAGGAAACTTCTGGACTTGCAACAGGTGTGCCAATACAAAAATTATAATTTTTTTCCCCTTCGCCATTAAACTGCTATTTCTGTAGCTTCTTACAATTATACATATTCTTTTGATTAAAGCAGATATGCAACCACAGCTGACTTTTAAAAATTTTGATGTCACTTTAGCTTTAATTGTCTCAAACTGGAAAATGATCCTGACTTAACTTTGCTGTTCTACTTTTAACACTGATTTATTTGAGGTAACTTTCACCTTGGGCTTGGTGATTAATGTTGAGGGCCTTCTGGCATTGTGGCAAGCTTGAGCTTAGACAAGTAGTTTTTTGTGTGATCCTTGTTTAGTTGTGATGAGATGTTGATGCAGGAGCTTTCTATGGAAAATTAATTTCTTTTATATCTGAAATTATGGTTATTTGTTTAATTTAGGGCCCTGTGATTAGCATTTGACCACCTTTTGTCAGATTTAGATAAGATGAGTATCTGATCACTGATGAGTTCTCTTTTTTTTAAACTTCTTTTAGAACTCCTGTCATTGGAATGTTCAGTAAAAAATGTGGAGTTGAGGTTATAGAACAAGAAGCGAGTCCATTTTTAGCGGCAATGGCATCTGTGCATGTGCACCCAGCAAGATAAAAGGATTTTTTTTTTCTTTTAATGTTGAGAGAGTGAACATCAAGGATTTTTTTTTCTTTATTCACTTGTCATGCAGATTTTTCTGGATATGGCTGTCTTGGTGGATGCACAAGGGGACATGCTTGACAACATAGAATCACAGGTATCTTCTTTTCTTGATAAAATAATTTTAATTATGGTGACAAAAAAGAGATTTATTACTTCCCAGAAAATAAATCACAGGTGACTAGTTCATTCCTGTTTCATGCTTTTGCCTTGGATGAGAAAGGAATGAGTCAGTGCTTGAAATTAATAGTTATATTTAGCTGTAGGGTGATGGTTCTTATAATGCCTGAACCCTGTGATTTAACAGCCCGCTGCAATTTCAGGTCTCAAATGCAGTAGATCATGTGCAGTCAGGGAATGTTGCTCTCCAAAAGGCAAAGAAGTTACAAAGGAACTCCAGGAAATGGATGTGCATTGCCATTATAATCCTTCTTATCATTGTTGTCATCATCGTTGTGACCGTGCTTAAGCCATGGAATAACAAGAAGGGCGCTTAGCCCCTGTGGTCTTGTATAATGTACAAATGTAATGAGTTTGTGAGATTGACCTTTGTAACCCTCCGGCAATTTGTCAATTTATATTTGAAGTCCGTGTTTGAAACTCAACATGTCTGTCCATTTTGTATGATAAATTTGTTTGAGCGTGCCACTATTATTATTATTATTATAAAAGAAATGGAGATTAGTGTTCTTTTTGGCTGATGCCAGAATTGGTTTTTGAAGTTATTTTTATTTTCTGTTCCTGCAAAGCGACCCCCCATGGAGTGATGATGTTGGAGCAATCCTTCAGAAAGGATACGAGGTCAAAGGAACGCTGGTGAACAGCTGGATCATGTGTTGAAGCGTAATTGCAACGGCTGGTTAAACTGCTTCTGTGCCTCGCAACCGCTGCATATTGGCCCTGCGTCCTGGCCATTCCTGATTCTTTTCTACTGAACTATCTCTGAAACTGCAGAGGTTGAATGTGCCAATCATCTCATGACTGATTCAAGGTGGTTCCTAGTTCCTACCCTCACCACGTATGGTCAAGGGGTACAGGCTACATTTACATTGAGTAAAACCTGCCACCTCTAATATTCTGCAACTGACTTTGCTTGACCCACCTGCATTTGCCAAGATTCTTCGTGTTTGTCTACAAAATTATTTGAGCAAGCGGGCCATTGAACTTGAACGATGATGACACTAACATCGGCATATGTTATTTGTTAACATCTAATGGGCGATGGAATTGTTAGAACAATGACAAAAAGAAGAACTAAAATTCTTGTCATTGATTTCTGTTCGAAACAACTTTACACTCCGACAGGAAATTCAGTTCGAGGACAGAAATTAATGTTTCATGTACCAAAAAGATCTTCAAGTGGAACTAACTGCAAACTGTCCAATACCAACATTCCCAAATCAAAACTCCTCCGTGCAGAAACATCTTTCATGTTTCTTAGAAGACAGGGCATTTCTGTTTCTGCAACAAGCTGCACTAAGCTTATCTTGAAGGTATCAGTCGTGCTCACTACTACTATCACGCTAAAACAGTGTTGTATGAAGAAGGTATACAATTGTTTTTCTTTTCTGTAAGGGTTTCTTGAATCTACTTGGAAAGAATAAATCTGAATATTTCCTTCAAAACACCAAGTTGGAACTGTGAAAAAAGACCATGGACTCATCGCCCAATCCCCAAAACTCTACATCCCAGAAGATATTGCTGAAAAGTTGAGTACCATCTTCAGTTATAAAAACAGAAGTCATATCATCAGCACATCCACTTCTAGTCATTAGGATCCCATTCGTCATCCTGATCCATGGGTATTTGAGTAAGACTACTTCTACCTCTACTGTCATCAGATTCTTGCTGTTCAACACGATCATTTTCATGTTCTGACACGCTATTATCATCACTACCCTCTTCCACTACTGCTGACTCTGAGCGAGTATCTTCCTGACTAAGCTGCATCCATCTTGGGCACTCATCCTCTCCTCCATATAGGAAACGGCCATCATTACCTTTTACCTGTTTTGCAACCTCAGCAGAAGGAATTCTACAAGAGCATTCAGGAAGCGGGTGAGACAGGAATGTGGTTGGTTTTGACAGAAGGGATTGCCTGATAAGTCCATCTTCACTCAAGCTTTTGTTGAGATGTTCCCTCACTACACGTTTCCAAGTACGATTGTTATGGTGGTACAAGTTGTCATGGATAATGTTGAAAAGTTCTGCAAGAACCCTCCTGTTTGAAGAACCAACAAAGCATCAGAATGATTTGTTCAATTTATAATATACTGGTGAACATCAGGAAGATATATCAGGACGGACAAAAACCAGAACTAAAGTACAAGGTGTGCAAAATAAAAAAGAAGCAGATAAAATCAGTACAACAAATTTTATTACATGAAAACTGAGATGGATTTAAGATGATTTGTTTGCTTAAAAACAGCAACACCACAGTGCAGAAACCAGTGTAAAGAAGATCATAGAAGACTGCTAGACACTTTTTTTCCTGGCATGCTACAATACTTCTCCTGGCTATCTCAACGTAACATGATTATTATTTGGGAAGTGCTGCCAACTGAAAGCTGATTACTCTCTGGAAGAGCAGCAGGGAAAAAATCATTACTCAACCCAAATATGTAATATATATTATCATATGAAAATGCAAATTCAGTTTGATAATCTTTCTCAGAAATGTAGTACATCTGTTACGTTCCTGGCAAATCCTTCCCTCTATCTGTCTGCATGGCAAGTTTTAAATGCTTCATAGCACTAAGCAGTGTTTTAATTGAGGTCAGCTGCTCCTTGCAGAACATCAAAAATCAAATGAACATAAATTGTGGAAGTAGAGAATCCCTACTATCAGATGCATAGATACTGAAAAAATGAATCAATGTAATCACAAGTCATTGAATTTATTTTGCCCCACTGGCATTTTAAAACTGCAGAAAATTGTGAATCTCAAGTATCATGTAGTTGAGGACATTCATCCACACTATGCTTCCATTTTTTGCGTTGAAACATATTGTGCTTCAATCAATTTCCATGGAATGATTCAGTACCTTTATGCTGTAATTAATTTGAAGTTCATGATAAGAGGTTTTTGCCCATCATACCTATCTGGCCGATATGTTTTAGAAGAAGCACTCTCGTATAGCCGGTGTCCCATGACCAAGCTTGAGAAGTCTGGCCATCCACTACCATCATTATGGAAACCAGGAAAAAATGCATCTGCTTCCACTGAGACAATATAATCAAGAGCATCCCAGATTAACCTGTGTGCTTGATTCCTCAGATCTACAGATGAAGGTTCTGGTTCTGTGTCAGACTCAGTAATCCAACCATACCAACCTTCTTTTTCATGTTGATAGATGGGTCTGTCTGGAGGTGGAGGAAGGGGACGAGGCCGGGGACCTGCCCTATTCCACTCTTCTTTTAATTGTTCCTCACTTATGGTAGGTGGGGGCTGGAAAGGATTCAATGGAAGAGGTGTTTCAGGACCAACCACATCAGATAATTCTTGCTTAGTGCACACCTGAGTGCGATCCACAGTGTTAGAGAAGTTTGCTCGCAGAGGTATCAAAATGCGTTGACCACCAAAAGTTTCAGACCCAGCCACGTATATCATTGTTTCAGTAGAATAACCCATCTCTTTAAGGAGAAGACCAATCTGAAAATGTTTCAAAGAAGTAAAAGGGCCCCGCAAAGTTGTGTCATTCCTGGGATAGTAACATTTTATAACATGAAAACGAATAATTTGCTGCTAGCTAGGAAAGCTATTGTAAGAAGCTTTCCTCCTAAGATATGTGTTATATGCTACCATGCTAGGAGACAGTCAACATTGGGCTGCCCAATGGTGGTGGAAGATATGTAGGATAGATTGTTCATGGTGGGTTTCGGAAGGAGGAGGAAGGAACATAAGAGCTTGTGGTGGTTCTTATTTGGTAAGCTTGGATGGAGAGAAATAGTCGACATTTTTAGGATAAGTCAACCTCAAGACAATTGTTGTGGAATAGGATCGTGCTTCCAGCTTCTTTGCAATGCAATGCATGGGACCACTATGGTGTATGAGTTTCAAAGCTAATTTAGTGAGATTAGACTATCTTTTATATTGAAATTTTGTTGTTTTTTTCTCATTCTCTAAATGGAGGATGTGTTGTTCTCTAAAGTGCTGTTGGAAATTTCTTCCCTTTTCTATTGATACTTTCTTCTATCTAAAAATGAAAAATCCCTTCTAAAAGAAGTTTAAGGACTAGAATTAATATGAAATCTGCAAATGATTTGGCAAACATAATTCAAGCAATGTGCAAGAAACAAAACTCCAGTGTAGATAAAGGAAGCATCCATTGTGCAGTTTGGACTTGAAAGTTAAACCTTAACTCTGTGTGTACCTCTTCTGGCATGAGGGGGCATGACCCATTGGATCTTTGAGCGTGTGAGTCTACACTTAGCTCATCATTAAGAATCCCTTGCTTAATCATCTGTGCCCTTTGGTACTGTATAAGCTCAGTGTGAACATCCTAGAGGAAGTGCCAAGTTAGAAGGAGGAGCTAGGAAAAATAGAGAATTTAACGAGGTATTTATATAATCTATCTTCATTTATGTTTGAGGTAGAAAATCACAAAGAAGACGTCCAAATATTGAAATTCCAACTACTGAATTTTATGACCAGTTGAACAGCAAAACAAGTACTAAAATTAAAAGAAACCAAACTTAAACATATCGATGCAACTTTGATCACGGAAATGATATAGATGAGAAAAGGCTTGAACAACTAGCCTGATATAATTCCGCACACCCATGATATGCCAAGGTATTTCTCACTAAGCCAGGATGAAATGCAAGGAAAGGTTGACCAGATGCCCGTAACCTGTGGAAAAAGTTTTAGAGCCAAGAACTGCAAACAAATGCTTCATAGATTGTGAAGTTGCATGCAATTTATTATTGCAATGTTGGTCATATTCTTACGGAGTGCTAAACTAATGAAGATTGTGCACATCCTGAAATCTGGTAATTGGCATTATAATTTTATTGGAAAGGCAAGGTAAGAAACTAATCAGCTATACCTCTGAACCATCAACTGACCAAGCACCTGAATTTTTGGGCGAAATTTTAGAGCATGAAATGCAACTCGACATCTAAGCCTCTGAAACTCGGACATGCTTTGAGGAAGAATTGACTGCAAAGAAAGTTACCAACAGATTAAAGCATTATCAAGAATAAAAAATAAATGAACACCCAAATTCCATGCCCCAAATTGAGTAGTCCATTGCACAATTGTGCATACCAAATTTTGTGAATTGAAAATACTAGGGGAACCAAAGTAGCTATCAAGTTAAAACGATGCTCAACATGTTTCTTTGACTGGCAAGATTATCACTTTGAGCCACAAATTTCTATTGAATTTGTTTAGTTAAAATTGCAGTTGACATCCCAAAATTACAAGTTCAGAATTCCACTTCAGAAAAGATGCTGCATTAGGCATCTGATTAGGGTTTTTTCATGGTTCCATACAATTGCTTATTAATCATTAATTCTTCGCAAATAAATAAAGAAAATTGAAATGAGCATGTCCTATTATTGAAATGCGCACGTCCTTTTATTGAAATGAGCACAAGAAAACACAAGAAAATAACTAACAGTTGTCATCCAAGCAAAGGTCATATCCTAGAAGAAAAAATGACATGAGAGATCAAAATCAATTATGTTAACAATTATGAATAGAAAGGTGGTGCTATTCAAGATGAGAGAACAATATAAATCATTTTATGATCTACATTGAAATATATTCACCTACCTGCAAGCATCCTCCATCATGAAGAACTAGTCCAATAACCTTGGATTTCTTTAACTCAGGCAAAATTTCCTTAACGTAGAAATTTGGAGAAGCAGAACTTTTGGGCTTATAAGTATGGATCTCATTCCTTCTCCTGCCTGCCTTCAAATTCTCGGGCAGGCTGTTCACAACGATTACATCATTTTTAAGTGATGCTACGAACTGCTCTTCATCATAGAGATATGAAAAACTCTTGAATTTGTAACTGTTCCAAATTCAGAAATTAGCAAGAAAAAAACAAAACCTGTAAGCTTCTCAAGTGCAAGGAGTTAAATGGCAAACCATTAAACAAGCTAAAGTAAATTACCTAATGCCTTTTGATTGAAGAGTTTCTTGAATCTCTGGAATGACAAGAGTAGCATTTAGAAGCCTGGATATGGTGACAAGATCACAGATCTAGAAAATTAACAGAAATGTTATGAACTCTTATTATAAATCAAAATTAAAACAAGGTTATAACATCAAATGAATCATACCGAGGATCTTATCTTCTCAAATCCACCAAAAATTTTTGCATAAATGTAACCATTGTTCTTTTCATTTGGAACTGTAACCCAAGAAAAAATGTACGCAAAATAAAAATCAATATGGATAGAAATTCTCAAATGTAGCCTATAAAGATCATAATATAATGAGCAAGACAGAAAGCGCACCAAGTAAATAGGTATCTCGTTGATGAAATGAAAGTAAATGGGAAGAAAGCTAGCAGCTTTGGTGAACAAAATTTATTAGAAATCAAAATAATTAGAATGCTCTTTTCTGCCATTTCACCATATTGCTTATATATAGAGTCTTGCAAAGAAGTAACGGTTACATAATTCCACAAATAACAACAAAGGGTTGGCTGATTGGCAAGAGGTGTCAATATAAGGGTAGGTCATGATTCAAAACTTATTAGGAGCAAACTCTTCCTTGAGAGTTATCTATATGCCCATGAAAGCAAGTCCAAACTTTTCCCAGTACAAGTGAATGGAGCAACTTTAATGCACCAGGAATTTAACCTAAGTCACAAAACAGATTGGGGTTTCCCTTCATCCAAAATATAAAAAATGTCACTAAAATGTTCCACAATCTACTCTAAAACAAATAAGCCACCTTCATTTTCATAGGCTTTCACATAGATTCCGCTGTAAAAGTATGCAAATAAACATAATGGTGCAGATTGTATAACCCATTTTCCACGATCTACTCTAAAACAAATAAGCCATCTTCATTTTTCACAGCCTTTTACATAGATTCCATTGCAAAACTATGCAAATAAACATAATGGTGCACATTGTATAACCCATTTAAGGATTATCAATATCAAACTAGATAAGTTGAGTTCTTTTCCAAAAAAAAAACTATGGTACTTAATTTACACACATCAACCATGCACTGATTGTTATAATAATAATGGAGTTGCACAAAACATGCTTTTTGCACCATTCAATTGGTCAGACTAACCAAGTAAGGATCCCCAACCCCCTACCAAAATATAAATAAGAAAGAAAGAAAAATAAAGGGGAAAAAAGGAGAAAAGAAAGAACATCTACAACTCAACCACTTTCAGCAAAATACAAGATCATCCAATTGGAAACGACAAGTAGAAACACAACCAAATGGAATGATAACTAAATTCCCTAAAGGATGTGTCAATTACCTTAGAAGCATGTTAAATGGGGTGGCATATCCAACTTGAAATTACCTCAACCAAGTCCCTTAGAAGCATGTTAAATGGGGTGCCATATCCAACTTGAAATTACCTCAACCAAGCTATAAATTTACATAAACTTTCAAAGAAAGCTTCAACAACTTACTGATCCACAGTTTATTTAAATGCACTCCTACGAAACTTAACTGAACAAATCCATTTCACATTTCCAAATTCCACAGCAGCTAATTAATAACCAAAAGACACTCGCCTCCAATAAAAACCAGTTCAAGAAATTTAACCTCAATGGATATAAAAGAAACAGAAAAGTAAATAGACAAATAGAAAAGCTCAGCAAAACCCATTACCAGGATAACTGCTTCTCGGGTTGGCATAAGGCTGCAGTGACTTCAAAGACTTCACATGCCCCCACGACCTCTTATTTCTAACAGCTCTATCACCCTGCAAAACCACGAAAACCCAGATGAAAAAACAAATAAAGAACACAACAAATGCTAAAAAAAAAAAAACAATGCAGAACGCAAAATGAAATCTGTACGCCAAAGATAGGAGTGAGGTTAAATCCAATGGCAGGCATTAAAGTAGATTGCAGTGAATAAGGCCCCGAAAGCTTTGTGATGGAGAGGTGAATCACTAGAGACACCATTGATAGCATCAAGACAAACAGTGCAATCCATTTTATCTTGGATTTGAACGCCATCTTCATTCATTCATGCCCAATTCCTGCAAAATCCGAATCCCACAATTCCTCAAGCCCCTACAACACCAATTCCGAAGAAATCAAATCCAAACAAAGAAAAGGGATTGAATTTAAGTGCTAATGAATAATTCGCAAGCTCCCCGAGGGTCTGGACAAATGGGGTTAAACATGAATTGAATTGAGTTTCGTTTGGTTGAAAATGAGAGGATTTGAAAGGAAAGTTGTTGTCTTTATGTAGTGAGAGAGTGAGAGTGTGTGGTTTTCTGGTACAGGAAGGGAATGAAGTAATGAGGGATTGAATATGGCGGAGCTAAATGAAATCAAAATGAAAGAGAAAATAGAAAAGAAAGTTTGTGTTGGCAGAAGGGAAACAGACAAAGAGTTGTTGTTTGGGATGGGTGGCAGAAGAGAAGAAAGAGAAGAGCTGTGAAAGAGACAGTCAGGGAGAAGAATGTGGATTTGGATTCGGAAAGGACCACTTCCTTCCTTCCTTTCTCTCCTTGTCTCCGTCACCAAATAAATAATAATAATAATTTTTTTATTAAAAAATTAATTATTAAAATAATTTTATATTCAAAATATATTAAAATAATATTTTTTTATTTTTAAAAATTTACTTTTAATATCAACATATCAAAAAAATTTAATTTAAAATAAAAAAAATATTCTTTTTAAAAAACACTTAATAACCTAAAAATCAAATAGGATTTAAATTTTTTAGTTTATGAGTTTTTTCATTTCATTTTAATCCTTTAATCTTATTTTTTTATGTGATTCTTTTATATTATGTTACTTTGATATTAGTCTTAGTGATTTATTTTTATACCTGTATGTGAGGATCTTGCAATGTAAGGAAATGTTTTGTCACTTGTTTAATGCTTGGTTTGGCATGATAAAATTTAATTTTATTGATTTTTTTCTAAAAAAAAGAGCTTGAAAGACCGAATTTGAAGTTTAAATAAATGTTCAGTCCATTTTGTTTTGCTAACATTGGGATTAATTTGTGTTGTTAGAGATAGAGGGTTTTTTTCTAATTACTCAACTTTTTTTTTAATTTCATCCTTTCACATTGCCTTTATTTAATATTTGACTTTGTATATTTATTTTGATTGCCTAGATATAGGGTTTTTGCAATGTTGAGAAAAAAAATTATGTGCTCAATTGATGCCCAACTTAGAAAAATAAAAAAAAATTATGTTGATGTCAAACAATTTGGTGTTAATGGACTAAAATTAAAAATAAAAAAAAAATATAGCAAGCTAAGGTGAACAGGCAAAATTAAAAATAAAAAAATATAGCAAGCTAAGGTGAACAGGTAAGGGATAAACTGGTTAGCATATACAACCGATGCATCAGTGTTTAAAGAAAGTCATCGCGTTCAAGTAGCGCTTACAGCTTCCTCTAGAGGCTTAAAACCTCTTTCCTTGGTGGTTAGAGATGTTATTAGGTATTTATGAATAAAGTTTTGTGTTGTTGATACTTAAACTTGTACCTAAATTACTATTCATACCCTACCTCAAACCCATCGAGTTTGGATTTTAGAAACTCAAACCTTACTAGTCAACACACAATAAGATTGATGATCCTTTTTAACTAAAAAAAAAATGGAATCTAAAAGGAAGATAATCCCTTCTTAGTGTTACCTCCTCCACTCTCTCCTTAGAGCCTTTAGGCATATGCCCTATTTTGAAAAAAAATCAATTACCATATCATAAACACCATACCTTTTTATAGAAGGAGAAATTAAATCCACTTGATCTTGAGGTTTTTGATCCTTCAAGACTTCTCTTTTACTTCTTTCATAGTCACTCCCATCTCAAGATCTAAACTTGATTTTGATTTTAAACTTTTAAACCCTAACTTCTCAAACTTTGACTTAACTCAATTTTCAGCATCAAACCATACTAAATAAAAGCTCATTGCTTTTGCTTTGATATCTAAAGGCACCATAAGCTCTCCAATAATTGTGTAGGTTCTATCAATATTATTACATCTTTCTTAATTTGATGTTGCATATGTAATTTTAGTTGAATTAAAAAGATATTGAATTTGAGAAGAAAACCCTGATTTTTTTACCTTCAAGTTTTACCTAAACTTGATTAGGTAAAAAAATCTCACACTTATTTGAACGGTTTCATATTGGTATTTATAGGATGAGTGTGAAAATTTCATCCTTATTAGTGGTGACAAACAAAATTTAAGCTTTTAAACCCTAACTTCTTAAACTTTGACTTAACTCAATTTTCAGCATCAAACCATACTAAATAAAAGCTCATTGCTTTTGCTTTGATATCTAAAGGCACCATAAGCTCTCCAATAATTATGTAGGTTCTATCAATATTATTACATTTTTCTTAATTTGACGTTGCATATGTAATTTTAATAGAATTAAAAAGATATTGAATTTGAGAAGAAAACCCTGATTTTTTTACCTTCAAGTTTTACCTGAACTTGATTAGGTAAAAAAATCTCACACTTATTTGAACGGTTTCATATTGGTATTTATAGGATGAGTGTGAAAATTTCATCCTTATTAGTGGTGACAAACAAAACACAATAAAGCCTTTTTAGTGAGGTCACACAAGTTGACGATGGAAGGGTGACATTGCTTTGACAACTTTTTTTTTCTTTCTCTCTTTTCTTTCTCCTCTCCTCGATATTTGTTGATATGTCAAAGAAATAAAGGTGTTCAGTTATTTTATTTTTATGTTAAATTTGATACTCATTATTTTTATTTCTATTTTTTTCGCTTTAGATCCTTTTTAAAATTAAATTTTAATTTTAATTTTGCTATTTTTTTCGCTTTAAATCCTTTTTAAAATTAAATTTTATTTTTAATTTTATCATTCAATATTGACTTGTTAACAAATTAGGTTTCATGCCTTTTTTTGATGAGATGATTTCAGTCTCATAATCTAGGTTATGGATTTGAAAGGTTAATCTATATTAACATCATTCTTTTTTTCATATTATTTTTTACATGTATTTTATTTTCAATTTCATCCTTTAATATCGGGTTTGTTTAAAATTGAGCTTTATAATTTTCTTTATTTTTTTGTCTATGAGGTTATCCTGATCTTGAAACCTAGATTGCAAATTTAGCGAGTTTGTCTAGGTTAACTTGAGTTTTTTTTAGTTGTTCATTAAGATTGAATATGTTTTCAATTTTGTCTTTCAATATTGGGTTAGTTTGAGAATTGGACTTTATATTTTTTTTCTTATTTTGCTTTTTATTATGTTATCTCATTTGCATAATCCAACTTGTTGGGTTTGACAAACTTACCCGGCTTTGCTGGGTTTTTTTTAAGGTTCTTTTTGTTAATTGATTTTTTATTTATTTTATCATTTTACATTTGAATTGTTGGGTGGGCATCATAAATTTTGTCAATTTGCTTTTTATGGGATTGTTCTAAGCTTCCAACCTAATGACTTGGGTCCGAGTTAGCATTTAATTTACCTAATACAATTATTTTCCTTATGAATAAAGAATATTTCTCATTGGATTTATTAGCAAGTCCCACGTATACTTCTCAATACAAAATTTAAATTTGTTTTTCTTATGATTTTTATTGTATTTTAGTAACATTTAAAGAAAATCTAAAACATGCAGGAAAAACATTATTGATATCCACAGTGAATTCATAATGTTTTTTTTCCCTTCATTTTGCCCTTCTCAACACAAAAATGAAGGCTAGAAATAAAGGTATTTTGATCTTTTCAAAGGGACACAAATGTCATTTGAAAAATCATTAGGGGAAAAAAATGTTTTTTGATTTTTTTAACAATAAAATTAGAAAAATAAACTTGGAAGGAAAAAAAGAGATTTTGTCTGGGGTCATTTTCTTTTTTAATGAACAGTAAAAACACTTAAATGTCATTGGGATCAAATAATTTTAAGGTACCTTGGAGGGATATTTTTATCTTTTTATCTAGTTTTTTTTTTTTGTTAATTTTAGGTGGTTTGGAGACTTTCTATCTTTTAGTAATATAAATTATTAAAAAACATATATGTTAACAAGCAGATGTCATCCACACCTTTTGGGCAACATGTACGGTGGTATCCAATTTTTAAATGTTATTTTCCATAAAAAATGGGTGGTTTGTTGACCGTGACCATTGTTTTTCTTTTTATTTTTCTATTCTTTTTTTTTTAAAGTGCATGTTGGTTCTATTTGTTTTTTTGTATTTTAATTTTATTTTTATTCTTTTTCTTGACCCTTTTATAAAAAAATTATTTGTTTTTAATTTAGTCATTCAATTAAAATTTATCATATATTATTTTTTTAATTTAATCCTCATTCTTTTGATTTTTAAGTTTTTCTCTTGGTTTTTTTGGAAAAGTTTTATTGGTTTTCAATTTCATCATTCAATCAATTTTTAAGGTGTATTTTTTTTCAATTGGGTCTTTATTCTTTTGATTTTTTTTGTTAAAGTTAATTTTTTTTAATTTAACCCTTTAAAATAAAAATTGGCTACCTTCTTATTTATTTCTTATTTTGATTTTCACCCTTATTCTTTTAATTATATTTTTTAAAATCATTTTATGTAATTGACTTTTATTCCCGATTTTATCCTTTAGATTTGTAGAACTTTAGAATTTTTTCATTTATAGTGCTTTCGATCTAATAACTCAGGCCACAGGTTAGAAATGTTAATGCAGGTCGACATTCTTTTTCTTAGCTCATTTTCTTTTCTAATTTTATCATTTGATAATATTGGTTTTAAAGATTGGTTTTGGGGTTTTTTCTCAATTTTTTTATTAGTTTATCTTGATTTTATGACCCAAGTCATGAGTTTTGTAGGTTAACTCGAGTTGGCTAATTCTTTATAAACCAAATTACGTGTTTATCACGCTAATTCAAGTTGACTTGAGTCGTCGTCCCCCCTATTAATTATCTACTTTCAAGATTTTCTTTCTAAGTTATCGTGATCTTTATTTTTAAAATTTTTTTTTATCTATTTAATATTGTTACCTATTTTTTATCGTCTAAAAAAAAAAAAATTATCTATTTAATATTGTTACCTATTTTTTATCGTCTAAATAAAATAGAACCAACTTATTAAACCCAATCGGGCTATAATACAAGTCATTTATTTTTAAATGTGCTTGCGTTACCTAGATTATCATTCCTTTTTCTAAATTTTTTAATTCTAATTTTGATTTTGATTTTAATTGATATCTTTTTTAAATATGTCTTTTTTTAAATAATCTTTTTAATTTGTGTTTCAATTAATATCCCCCTCTATGGTTTTTTATTTTGCTTATTTAGTCTTTTTTAAATGAGATGTTTTTCAAATGTTTTGTGTGTATTTAAGTTTTCAAGATATTATTATGATTCATCTATAAATTCTCTTTTTATGTTTTATATGGATGAAATTTTTTTTTTAAATACTTATTTTAATATATATATATATATATATATATATATAGTCATGTATGATATTTTTTTCTCATTTATTTTTATTCAATCAATTTCATATA